TATTACAAAGAATTTTGTGTTTACTTGTGCACTAAACAAGTTGCAGGTTTTGCTCTGACCAATAATTCGTGAATTACTTTTTAAGCTAAAAATAAAAGTTGGCAATTATTTATCAGGATGGCTTTCTGCTTTTGTGTCCATGAACTGCACCACCACCCCCCCCCCAAAAAAAAAAAAAACCTTCCCCAGATGAATCAGCATACTTTTATAAGCGGGGAGTTCTTTCATTAGTTGACACACAGCAACCTTTATCTAACTCCGCTAAATGATTTGATTACATGTTACATGAGATCGAATATCAAAAATCCATTGTTACGTCTGGCTCACTCTGCTGTGAGTTTTTTTGGGTACTAATATACAGTGTGTTTTAATATCAATGCACCAACTTTGGCAGGAAAGCACACCTCGGATTGTGAGGATGGGAGATAGTCCTGGCTGTCCCTGTGGTGGTACCCATGTTTCTGATATTTCAGATATTGTAAGCATTAAGGTCCGAAACCTGTCTCCTTTCGCTGATCAACTAGATATTTATATCCGATTTGTGATTCTGTAGTGATATTACCTACATGTTTTTCCGCTTAAATGTCTGCGATTTAATTCTGTTGAATTTGGTGCTGTTTCTCTTATCGGCATATGCATCGATGATGAAAATTGTTCTCCATAACAGCAAAACTGTCCATGCACTTTGTAGTCCTTCATGACTTATTTTGACCTTACATTTTTTTGTAATTTTTTTGATTTTTTTTTCTCAGTTTGAATGTTATTATGCTTTATTTCTAGAGCAGTGGACAAGAGACCTTGATCCTGTAGAGACTTAGCTTCTGATAGGTAATATTTTGTTGCCCGCTTTGTATTTTTCTGATGTTTGCTACGATTGGCGTGGTATGCATATGTGCAGGTTTCTCAGATTCGCTCAAAGAAAGGATCAACAAAAGTCTTCTACAATGTTGAGTCCTAATGCTATGCACTTAGAACCAGCCATTCAGGAGATGCTGTCGGGAACTCCATAGTGAGGCCAACTTTCAGTCCTGAAAGGAGATAGCTATGTATTACTGAACAATGCTTCGCTAAAATACTTATAATCACATATAATCGGTTATGGTTTTGTGATACCAGCGAAGATGTTTTAATTCACTGTCCTTGTTGGATGGATCGTGAATTTGCAGAGGGGATATTTGTCATACGTCTATAGCTTACTCCCTCCGTCCCTAATTATAAGATTTTTTTTTTGAATGGATTTGTCCTTTTTATAAGGTTTTTTTAAAATTTGTCTGAATATTTAATGCATTGTTGTCTATTTTACTCCTAATAAATTCCCATGTAATTCTCTCTCCATACATCTCTCTCTATTTATCTCATTATTACTCTCTTATATTTATTAGGGTATATTTGGAAAAAAATTATATTTGTTATATATTAATTGTTTTTAACTAATTTTAACTGTTTTCTTAACAAACGTAATTTGGCTAAAAAGTTCTTATAATTAGGGATAGAGTAGTATAGTTTTGAGTGCTACCTAGATCGTTGAAAGCTCATTCTCTCAAGATGCTTTCGTCTTTCTATATATCTGGCAGATCTAGTCTTAGTAATGTGTGGGCATTTATGTCCATGGATCTGTGTTCTTCCTCGCCTTACAAGTTACAATCATTTTTCCTCTCATCTAAAATCATAGTTTCATTACTTCCCTGAGGCCCTCGGTGGAAATAACGCTATTAGTCCGAATGTAATCACTGCTATATACTATCTCCGGTCTTAATTATAAGAGTCAGTTGACTAATTTGAAGAAATTAAAAAAAAAAAGTTAAGTTAGTTATTTATAATAAATAGGTGTTGTCTTTCTTAAAATATCCTTACTAATCAAGTATGTTGGTTAAAACTATAATTATTAGAAGGACTATCTTGAAAAAAACTGAGTAAATATGAGAGACAAAATGGATTGGAGTCTTATATTTAGGACCAACATAAAAATCAAACGGGATCTTATATTAAGAACCAGAGATAGTATTATCTCTACATTTATTGTATAATTTTCGTTTTCCAATGCAAAGAACATTACTTTTCTCTATTTCTTTTCCAGAAATTAAAAAAAAAAATCCTTTTCTCTGTGTATCTTTGGGATTTTGAGTGGTATCTGGGTAATCTCATAATCACTTTTTATAAGCACTTTTTCGTAAATTGAGATAAATTCCTCTACATATTTACTTCATATACCATAAAAATATTTCTGAAACCATGGTTTTGATCTTACCCAAACATCCATTTTATCTAAAAAAGAATCTTTTTTTTTTCCCTCCTTGTGTTGACTAGTTGATAAGCGTTGCAGTCCATCTCTGGCTGGCTGTGTTAATTGTTGAATGAGTTCATGCACGTCGTGATCATTATGAATTTGAATAATGTCCATTTTCAGCTGAAAGGTTAATGAACGGTCACTCACCAAGCTAAATGGATGATAGTGGCAGGTCTTGGCACCTGGTGCATTCAACTTCCCAACAAATATGAGGTTGCAAATTTAGATGACAAAGTGGTCCATGTTAATTTGCGTACAATGCATAATTTAGACTGCTTTCTTTTCCTAGCAGCCGTCTATTCTTTTTTATGTGCCGAATAAGGATAATCATATTGACCAATTATTCTCACAATTGAAATTCACCCCAGTATTGTTAAATCAGTGTGTAAGGTTTGTCCCCCCTAAGCCAATTTTGCCCCACAGCTCAGCAACTTCTGGGGTTTTGTTTCAAAGTGAACAAAACTACACATAATTCACTCTTTTTAAAGTCCAAGGATGCGATGCCTTAGGATGATGGCAGAGCCAAGAGCATGATAAGAAGTGAAGAACCAAGGCAGGCTTTCAGGAAAAATTTTATTTTGGAATGGTTGGCTTTGGTTTGGCTCTCACACTTTAGGAAACAAATCGGCGCAAAAGTTAACTGAATAATTGATGGTGGAACCAAACGTTGCACTGTTCAATTCACACGCAGCATCTATACAGCATGAGTATCCTATTCCAATTCCCTAACACGGTTTACCTGTTAACATTATTACCAATAAATTTGCCACAAACATCATCGCCAAAGAAGTTCATATTCTTACTCAATCCTCCCTCCCATATGATCTGAAATATAGAGAATCTGGCGTCCCACGGCGCATCTAAGTCTAAAATAGGTCTTAATGGAGGGCTTTTGGGTAGGATTTAGCAAATGGACGAGATGGAGCCAAAGAAATTGTTATTTGACCAGGCAAGGATAACACGGTAATTTCCCAAGTCAACGTCACTTTCCACAAGCCACAACATTAGATTTATGAGAACGCAGTCGCAGATATGTGCAAGTGTTCAACTCAAAAAATGTGCAAGTGTCCGTGTTGGAATGAAACTCAGAAAAAAAAACGGACTTTACCGATAAACAGGGAATCGACAAAAGAGACCAAAACGTGAGCCACGGAAAAATGCTTCTAAATTGAGCAGACCCTTCTCTACCATCCAATGCCCTCAGGTAAAGCGCCGCTTTTGGGTGCCACTTCGATACAGATTCTCCACTCACACTCCTTTTCACTCTCCCACACATCTTCTACATCAAAATTTTCTCAGAGATCTTCTCCAGCCTTCTGATTTGCTTTTACTATGCAAAGTCACACTTTCATTCCCTCTGCTTCATTCTGCTTCTATATATATGCACGTCGCTGTATGTAAGTTGCTGCATTCTGATTTCGTCGTCTCTCTTGTCTCCGTGTGCCTTGTTGAGGATCAACTGGTAAGTGGGATTTCGTTCTCTATGCTGTATATTTTGTTTTAGTAACGGTTATGCTCGAACTTGGCGTTTAATCTTTCTTTTTTTTTTTTTCTTTTGCGAAATAGTTGGCTTTTGAATTGAAATAAAGGACAAAGGGTATACTTGTTTGGATTTTTTGTTAAAGAAGCTTTAATGGCATTCTAATCAGAAGTTATGTGTTTGTTGAAAGAATCACTGGATGTGAACTGTCAACAAAACGAGCATCGGGTAATTTTATCTCGAGTTTCTTACGCTCTAGTTTTTGTCAACTGAACTCTTACATCAAGCGGCAATACTCACGGTCTGATGATATGGATCATCTCTCTGAAGCTTTGGTTCTGACTTCTGAGAGGGAGAAAGTGTTGGAAAGAAGGTCATTGAGGTTTGATTGACATGACGCTATGTCTATAGAATTCAGTGTCTGCCTGTCCATTTTCTCGCTGCACCATGTACGGAAAGTCCTTTGTGCTCAATTCAATCATAGCTTAATCAACTTTCTTTTTCTTTTTCTCGGGAGTGTGGGGTGGTGGTGTGGTCTTTATAAAATCCTGAGGTCTATATTCTGGTTTAAGTATTGTTAACGACATCTCATTATTTTATTCCTGATGGGAAAACATTTTGGTTTTTTTTTTTTTTTCGTTGGAGAGGAACGCCGCAATGGCATCGGCACCAACTCTTGCACAATATTTGACAGTTGGCTTAGAGTATGACTTAAGAGGTGCATTGTTTTTCTGGTTATAAAGAAGGTACAAGGCTTTGGGAGTAGTGAGGTTACCGGACCTAGATCCATCTAGGACCACTGACACTTGTGTCCAGAGAAGGTGTCACTTGAATCAAGACTCTAGGGCCTAAAATGTACTTGATGAATATTTAGATCTATTGAAGAGCTCCGTTGAGCATGATATTTTCCCTCGATTTTTGTTTTTATCGACATGATAGTTGCACTCCGATCATGAGATGCAAGCTTTGAAATTCTATTGAATGAACAATCTGTTCTTTGGGCGTCTCTAAGTTATATTGGGCAGGTCATTTTATTAAAGTTTTCTGTCTGGTAAAATGGCTGTCTTAGCGTAGATTATAAGTTCAATAACATGTCATAAATCATAGTAAGTTTTTCTATACATTTAGATGCCTGTGGTATTGATGACGTTTGACAATGGATTTCTTTTAAACAGGAGATCAAGCATGCTTAGTCCTGAAGGAGAACTTCAAATTAGTTTTGGCTATCAATGTAGTAGTAAAAGAAGTATACCTTGTGAGGTTGCCAAAGGCTATAACATTCTACCTGAAGTAATTCACAGAACAAGCAGTTTCTCTTGCTTGTCTGGTGCAGCCTTGAGTGCAAATGCTACGTTAGCTAACACAAACATCTGCAATGGTGTGATAGGAGAAGAAATACTTCCAACTTGGGACTCACCTAATTCATTCCGCAAGGTACCCTCTTCTCCAAGTCTTTCAAGGTTGGATATATTGTCATCTTCTCTCCACAGTAATTTGTCAAACTTAAGTTGCAGTCCATCCCCTCCAAGTGAAATGCTTGACTATGACTCTTGTACATTAAAACCCATGAGCGCTCCTTCCAAGAGTGAAGGTTTCCTTAATGCCATGGAAGTCCAAGCAGCAGGGGGAGCTGCTGGTGAAGATAGAGTCCAAGCAGTCTGTTCTGAAGAAAATGGCTGGCTCTTTTGTGCAGTTTATGATGGCTTTAATGGTAGAGATGCTGCCGACTTTCTGGCTGGTACTCTGTATGACACCATTGTATCTAACTTTAATATATTGTACTGGGAATCTGAGCCAGATTCCATCAAAGCTTCTAATGATGTGGGTTTGGGTGGATCCTGTAAGTTGGATGATAATCTTATTGTTCATGAGGAGCAATCTCTGTCAAAACTCGAGGGAAACAACAATTCTTATCATGGCTGTTTGGCAAAGAGTAACCTATCTGCTAAGGTAGGAGTGCCTTATAAATCATTTTCAGATGGGGTGCTTGATAGCCTTGAACGCTCTCTTAGCCAGGTTGAGAATGATTTCTTGTACATGGTTGAACAGGAAATGGGGGAACGGCCTGATTTAGTTTCTATTGGATCTTGTGTTTTACTAGTGCTTCTTCATGGGAATGACTTATACACACTTAATTTAGGTGACAGCAAAGCTGTATTAGCAACACGTAATACAAGAGGCAAACTTCAAGCTATCCAGCTCACAGAAAGTCATACAGTTGAAAATGACATTGAAAGAGCTCGACTCCTGGCTGATCACCCAGATGATCCTAAAGTCATTATAGGAGGAAAAGTGAAAGGAAAACTGAAGGTTACTCGTGCTTTAGGAGTAGGTTACTTGAAAAAGGTACTACTAATTAATTGGCAAAAATTAGGAAGTTTTGGACATTTAGCACATGAAGCTACTAATTAGAG